CCTAAAATGCACATGAGCTACACAGCTAAATTTGACTATTTATTCTGGTCAAGTCAGGCCAGGTTGGGGAGCTTGCGCTGATGCAGTGTGTTGTCGCACCCGACACATGACGAAACACCTGGCGATCCTGGCCGATGCCCCCCTAGGCAGACAAGCGGTCCATTCCCACCCTCCAGAAATGGCCATCCATCTGCCACAGCCAGGTGTTACATGTGCGTCCCCTTGGCCTGGTCCAGCCAGTCGGGTCCTCAGCAATGAGGATCTTTCAAGCTGGATCACCCTCAGGGACACGCGCCACATGGCCATGGTGCTGTAACTGACGCTCCCTCACAATGCAGGTAATGTGTCTCATTTGGGACTCCTCTAGCAACCGCTCGTTCAACACAAAGTCAAACCAGCAGTACCCCAAGGATTCCCCGAAGAGAGACAGTACCGAAGGAGTCCAGTCTTTGTCTCAGCTCACTGGATAGTGTCCATGTCTCACAACCATAAACATGAATGTCACTGCCGAGGTATGTGAATCTCTCAATGAGGTCAAAATATTCCCCACAGACAGACAAACTACTAATGGCTGTACCTAAGAAGTCATTAAAGGCCTGGATCTTGGTTTTTACCCAGGTCACTCACAATTCCAGATACTGAGACTCTTTGCTCAGTCTCTTGAGAGCCCTGATCAGAGCCTTCATTGACGCCGCGAAGATCACAGCATCTTTGGCAAAGTCAAGATCAGTAAATCTTTCTTCACCAAGAGATGCCCCACAGCTGCAGGATCCCACAACCGAAACAACCAATCCATGCAAGCATTGAACAGAATAGGAGCAAGAACACATCCCTGGGGAACCCCAGAATCAACTGAGGAGAATGTGGAGGTTCTCCTTCCACTCTGCACAGCACTCACAGTACTAGAGTACAGGCCGGCCATGACGTCCAGCAACTTCGGGACGTCTCAGGATGTCCCACAGGGCAGCTTTATCAACTGACTTAAAATGCCTTATAAAAATCGACAAAAGCTGCAAAGAACCTCTTCTGATATTCACACTCCCGTTCCATGAGAACCCTCAGTGCCAAGATGCGGTCAATGGTAGACTTCTTAGACGTAAAACCAGACTGCTCCAGTTGTTGGTAGGTGAGCAAGTGATCACAGATCCTGTTAAGGATGACCCTAGCAAGGACCTTACCCGGCACTGAAAGCAGTGTTATCCCCCTGTAGTTGCTGCAATCCAGGTGATCACCCTACTCTTTCTAGATAGGGACTACAAGTCCCGTTTTCCAGTCAGTTGGGATGATCCCTGATTCCCAAATGGATGCAAAGATTGTGGACAGCCTTACCACCAGCCTGGGGAAGTTCACCCTGGATACTACATATCCCTGTGGTCTTCCCTACCCCCAACTGATTCACCACCTGTGCAATCTCAGTGAGATTGGGTGGTTCACAGCTGATTGGAGGATCTGCTTCAAGAACTGTGGACCCAGAGATGTCTGACGTCCTAGCTGGAGGATCTGCTTTAAACAACTGCTCAAAGAAGCAGATGTACGTAATGCTTTGATTCCTCTGTAAGCTACACATGGGTCACTAGACCACAGATCACCTGCTTACAGATTCATCTTACAAACACCTCCTTATCTGGCCCTCACAGCCGTTCTCCTCAGACAGGAGTTGCCACTCCTCTCAATAATGTCCAGGATGCCCTGAGAGATGAAACACCTCTTCCTGGGAACACCAGCAACAACAACACAACCCTCAGCAACCTTCAGGGTCTTATCACCGAAGGTCTCCCACATTACATTAGATAGAGTTGGCAGTTGCACCACGACGTGTGCGGCCAACCCCTCCCCAGGGAGCACTGCTGCCCTTGGATGTACTTTGTACTTCTGGGACCTTGCAAGCAAAAAAATAGCCTTTGAAGCATACTGTTTTTTCCTTTGATTTGGTGAATATTTTTTGGAACAAGTTAACAATAAGACAATCATCATTTGTGCATGTTTATGGTACCAGTGAACACAGAGTTGAATTTAACAGTTTATCAGATCAATCCCCCAAAATGAGCTGCTTTGTCTTGCCAAGATCGATGCTGCTGCAAGGTCATTCTGTGATACTTTACCCCAGTTGCTACTGGGATACTGTCTGACCCTGCGCTCTGGTGCTCATTTGTGTGTCAACTTTGAGCAAAAGTGTTTGCTAAATATAGAAATATACTCCCATAAATGGAGTTAAACGTATTCCTGAGGTAACATGATCAGGTCTCCTTACCTGGGCAATTTTTTTTCCATACATGGACCAGCTGATATCTATCACAAAAACGATATTCTTCGGTACATATGGCAAATCCGCAGGAGCAAAAAAGTGCACAAAATACCCGTTCACTATCTGGAAAAAAACGACATTGTTATCACATACACCCTCCTTCCTAATACTTGTTTGCCTATGGTTCAGTTACAAAGCATCATCAGGGCATGTAATGTTATGGAATATAAAGGCATTGATATTATGAAAAGAATTAAAAATCTATGACAGCTATGAGAACTATTAGTCTATGATAGCTTTATATATATGTCTATATCAGATTGTTCTTTTGCACAGAAGGATCTCTAGTGAAAAATAACCAGACCTGTATGTTACCAATGTCTTTCTCTCGCTTCACATCATACTTAATGAAGAAATCTCCATCAATCAGTGTGCCATCACAAGTGGGACAGGTGCGTTGCTGCTCCACTGTTGGCCTGAAGGCCACGTGTGCCTGGGGGGGTGAGGGGGGTGGCAGAAGGGCTGGTGAAAAAGTGACTTCCAGACCTCACTGCTGCTGTTTTTTTTTTTTAACATTTCACTAACATTCTAACCACAAGCACAAATGGTTTTACTTTTAAATCGTTTGCTGCTCTTGAGCATCCTCTTAAAATGTTTAACTATATCCAGGCTGACCAACAGACCTTAGTGTCAGTGACAGTTTTCTCCACTAGGGGGAGCAGCTCATTTGTGACGAAGGTGCCATAAGCATCGAGAAAGGCAATGCCTTGGGGTTCATAGATGTCTGCTATGATCTGTTGAAGAAAGATCAAGGAACTGCACTGACGTTTGTGTGTTAATGTCAAATAAGATACTCAAACATGGCAGGAACTTGTGAAGCTACAACCACAGCTTCTGATGCTCATGCAAGACCTCAAAATTCTGGACCAGCTGCTTGGGTTTGACTCGGGTCATGAGCTCATACTGGCCCAATTGACGCTGAAGCAACTCCTCATATGTCAGCATGAAGGTCACATCACTGTGTGCCGCAATGTTCACAGACACTGAGAACTTCTCCATCTTCCTGCCCGATGCTCTTTGGACACAAAATCAGAAAATATGTCAGATAGACATGGCTTTCCAACCAAACCAGACCAGATGTTATGTCAAGTAAGACACACTTCCAGATAAAGAGCCAGAATGTACGAAGATGTGCATGCACATGAAAGACAGTATATGAAAACAAAACACCATGATAATTTACATTCCTTTTATGCTGTGTCATATATGTCCAGTGGACATCCTTCTCGCACCTGACTAGTCCAGCTGTTTGGCCTCTGGACACAGCCTTTTCAAACTGCTCTTTGGCCTTCTCCTTTTCTTTCACCTCCCCAACATAGATTTTTCCTTCAATCTCCCTAACATGGACACATATTGGCATAGACACACTTTAAGCATCACAGCCTACAGTTATCAGAGTGTCAAACATGGTGTTAAAAGAGGGAAGAACTGACATGCTGAAATTGGTGATGAAGGCCGTTTTAGGTAGCTCGACATCAAAAAGGACCTCTTGGGAGGTGTTGGCCCTGTTGACCACCTTAGAGGTCATGACAGTATGAGCAAAGCGAGATGCCACCTTACAGTTCACCGTCACACTTTGCACTTCAATGGCTCTCTGATCCTGAGAGAAAAAAGATTTGGAGGGGGGTTTTAGTCAGAGTTGTGCCTAAAGGATTATATCTCATATGTAGTGCAGCGCACTGGATCTGGAAATTTACAGCAGTAAGTAGGGACTTAGTAGTAGTTGTTTTCAGCATCACAGTGTATAAAAGCTGGTCCAGGTGTCTTTCTACCATAAATTTGTAGCATAGCAAGATGATTTGCTAATGGGAAGGAGGATCACATGATCATAAGGTCAAGGGACATGAGCATATCTTTTATAGCTAAACATTTTTGTGGTCACATTTCCCGACCAGTGAGCTGAAATTATCATAAAAATTTAATGTTGTTGTAGTGAATGGATAATTCTTCACTCTTACCAACACATTTTCAGGGCTTCGTTTCTGTTGAATAATGGATAACAAAATGAGAAGTTTACACACAGCACGGCAAACAAAGAGAATTGATTTCACTTTGAAACTGCACACAGATCAATTGAGAAATCCCCAGGTCAGTGACCTGATAAACATCCATCCCTCTCACATGGAGATTTTATTTTCACTGAGTCAGTCAAAATGCTGTTTTAGCTGCATGCAGAGCAGGGATTTTCATCTGGCATTCAAGCAGACGGTTAGCACTGGTTAAGCGACAAGAAACCATTTTCAGTCGTTACCTTCATCACCCTTGCCTCAGTCTCAGGGCCCTGGAAGTGAGAGAATATGGTGGATTACCGATGCGCAGGACAACTTCATGTTTCCAAGTGTGTTTTCTGCTGGGTGCACAGATTTGTGGGTCTTTGCAGCATTCTGTGGTCATTGCATTGCCATCTCTCGCAAATACTGAATAAAATCTTGTTTGATTATTATGATTGTTAAATTAGGCTTTACAGCTTTAAGCTCTCATTACCACAGCACTTCCAGTGACTATTTGTGGTAGCACCTGGTAGTATGTACACACTTGTATTAATAACCCACCACTTAACTGACATATGCACTTGTAGAGAAATTGTGATTTCTAGCATATCTTCTGCCTGTAGCTTTGTCCATAGCACAGCTCACATTCAGAATAGCATTAAATCATCACTGTAGATGGTGTCAGCAGTGAACCACAGTCTACTGAAGAGGGCTGAATTCAAAGATCTTAGACTCCAGTTCATATTCTTCCATTTATTATTAATAATCTCTCGTTCCTGGGCTCTGATATTGGGGGAATGCAGACCTCTCACTCACAGAAGCTGGGCAGGATCAGCGAAGGCACAGAGTAGCACGAGAGGAGCAGCATCGCTGTAGCTACTCACCTGAAGAGCAGTGTCCCGAGAGACGAGGAATGCAGGTGACACAAGCGTGGGTATGCCCACACACAGAAGCAGTACTGTCCACCATCCCATCGTGAGGCTTCAAGGGTCTGACACACAGTCAGCCAGGACACGCTGAAGTAACCTTCTCCAGCTGCAGGGAAAGGTGGTGGTGGTGGTGGTGGTGGTGGGGTGGGGTATTGATTCTGGTGTATGAAGACAGCAGTGTGTTCTGCACAGGACTGGCCTGTCAAGCTGACGAAATCCTGAAGGCGTACCCATAGCCTTGGTGATTAGTCATGCTGGGTTTGTCAGTCACACCTACTTCCCGTATTTAGCTGGCCTCTGGACACAGCCTGTTTGTTAAGATTTTAACAACTCTGAGCTATTAGTTATTTCTCCCCAAACGAGCTTGATGGGTCGAATGGCCCCCTCTCGTTTGTAAATTTCTTATGTTCTTATGTTCATACTGCTTTTTGGTGTTCTCCTTTTCTTTCACCTCCCCCACATTGATTTATCATTCAGTCTCCCTAAAGTGGGCACAAACATTTATATGTCAAAGGAATTGTGCAATAGTCATCACACTTTAGGTGAAAATTTGTGAAAACTGGGAGTCACAGTTGTTAGCACTGTCGTCTCATACCTCCTGAGTCATGTTTGAGTCCCAGCTCTAAATATGGAATTTTTTTGCCTCCATGTTTGTGTGAGTTTTTTCTAGGTACAGTCGAGCACGGTTATTACGATTTTCTGGGGCCGGCAGATTTCTTTCGTTATAACCGAATTTTGTTATATCCATTTTCATGTAAGATTGCTATGTATTATGACTGATCACTAGGCACATGTATTATGACTGTACATATAAAATAACGTCGACCTTCTAGTTCTGTCTATGAAGCTTTGTTTCATGTAATGATCAAAATAAAACATCTTTTTTACTATCAAGCAACGTGTATTTTGTAATTCAAAAACCATTTAGTATGGACCACGAAATCGATAACATATTACATGGTGGTAGAACGCTATGCACAGAAAAAAGGTACATATACTGGTACATCTATCAGTTGAAAATGAACTTCCCACAGTGATTTTCTGAAAATATTTAAATCGCTATTATTTTCCTTATCAAACACAATCAGATTTCATTACAATTGGAGCCCCCATTAATAGAAAATTCAAAAAATACCCACAGATGTTACTGTAATCTTTGTTACGGCCCCCAGTCTAGGGTCAGGGACCACCAGAAAGGTAAGGGATAGGGAAAGGGGAAGACAAGACAACCAGGGAATAAGGGAACGGGAACAAGGGACACAAGAGGTTCTTTTTTTATGGTTTTTTTTTTTTTTCACAAACACGTTCACAAACACGAGGTGCAACGAACTTCGGGAGTGATCTATGCCAAAACAATAAACAAAAACAGCTAAACGAACACGTCCCAACTAAGCTAATACCTAAGTGAAAACAAGTAAACAAACGACAAATACTACGCCTGACTCCCTAACCAAAAACACACAATAACCACGATCCGCAAAACCAAAAGGCAATCACTCCTTACGCACCAAAATGAGACAAACAAACAGCCAGTACACAAGGACAAGAAATCACGGTATCCGAGGGGGCGAGCAAAGGAGAATAGTCGAGAGCCGGGCGAGAGATCAAAACCAGTAAAGCAAACAAACCAAAGCGACAGTACCGAGAAGGGGAAAAGCGAAAATCGTAGTCCAGAAAGAAAGCAGTCATACACAATAGTCCAATAATCCAACAATCCAAACAATCCACAAGCAAACAATGAGCAGAGCTACCGAGGTAACTTGTCCGGCTTTTCACTCCGGGAACCAGGAAGTGACACGTAACGATGGGGCGGGGTCCAGTCGAGGAGGCGGAGCCAAGATGTATCCGGTGAATGGTGACTGAGGCGGGAGGTCCGGAGAGTCGGCTGGGCTCCTCCTAGAACTTACGGCACGTAACATCTTCTATTCGTAAGCGATATTTGGGCGCTATCGCATGAAGCACAGACGGCTACTGCACAGACCATTTCTGCTACGCGATTAAGCTGACGTCGGACTTATTTTAAACTATTAAATCTGGAATGATTGAGGCAAATCGTTATAACCGAATAAAAATTCATTGAAATATTTCTTTGGGGAAGACAGTAGACATCGTTATAGCAGAATTTTCGCTATAAAAGAATCGCTATATGCGTGTTTTCTTTAAGGAATTTAACGTTACTGAAGGTCGGGGATTTGGAATCGAAGCGTTACAAGCGTGTTTTCGTTATAAGCCGAATCGTAATAACCATGCTCGACTGTATTGGAGTTTCCTCCTGCATTATTAAAGACATGCAGTTAGGTGAAATTATGTTTCTAACATGCCCATAGCATGTCCTACGGGGGGCCAGAACTATCATAAAATGACATATATTTTATGTCTAACCCTAGGCTAATAACAGGCTTTTGCAAAGCAGGAAATTTGCTAGCAAAGCAAGCTAAAGTGTGTTTTCCCATCCTACGACGCCCCAGAACTATCATAAAAACACATTTTGATGCCTGGAAATGCCATACTTTTTCTAACCCTTATCCTAGCCTAACCCTGACACTCTAACCCTAATTTGGGACCTTAGGGTGCTAAAATGTATTAAAATATAGTTGGATTTCCAATTTCAGGGGGTTATAAAAGGGTCATTTTTTAAATATAAAACTATTAAACAGGTTGTATTTTTCAGATTTATCTATTTTTTTTCTAGAAAACAAAATATTACAAAAAAAATCATAAAAACCTAAAATGATAAAAACATCAAAACTGTGTAAATATGTACAGTTAGTAATTTTAGATATAATACAATTTAAGATTTCTAAATGAAAAAAAACAGTTTAAAAGACTTTTTTCACAATTTATAGTTGCGAGAAGGCTTCATCTATGGTAAGGCAGCAGCTCAGAGAGATCTTTCACTTGCTAACTGAAACAGCTCCGTCTTCCCAGGCCACATTCTCTGCTCCAGAACAATACCTTGAACTGGTCCAAATACCAGAACATAATCTGGAACACCTACAGATGGACAGTTACCCAGGGGCCACATTCAGGCACGCGGAGGCCTTCATATCCAAGGCCACTGTGATGGAGGTGGTTGTCCTATCCTTTGGCATTAAACTTATAGGCCAAAAGCATAAAGAAACTGCAGTCAAACAGCTTCAGAGGGCAGTGAGGGCAACTAGGGAAATATTCCCAGGGGCAGCTATTTACATATCCCTGATAAACTGAATAAAGTCCCTGAAGCCCAGTGAAAAGTCCATCGACTTAAATGCCCATATTAGGAAGAACTGTCAGCACTTACCTCTGCTACCAGATGCACAGCTCAAGGTAGCAAGGAATCGTATCCACTGGACACCCACATGCGGCGAAGCGATCTTTCAGCACTGGTGCAACCACCTAAACTTGTAAGCCCTTGAAACCCGAACTTGGGATTGCAGAGGGACAATGAAGTGGTTAATTTAGGGAAATACTTTATCCCCACGGATGATCAGCTACAATTACTGAATTATTGTTTATACCTACCCCCAAAATTGACAATAATATGACAAAAACAACTTACCTTAGATCTCCAGCAGTACCATAGGAGACTATTGCTGATGGCCTTCTTTGAACGCAGGAGGCAGCGGGAGCCTCTTCCGTTTGTCCCCAAAACCACTTGAACCCCAAGGTTATCCCAGGTACCTGAAACAATCAGAAAAATCATTAGAGCTCATAATTATGCAGTCCAACACTTACCTTGCAGTGACAAGCATGCGTCCTATTTGAGCCCAAGGAAAAGAAGGGCTTTGGTCCATCTTCGGCGCAATAAAAGCATGATCAAACCTGCGGATAAGGGAGGTGCCATGGTGATAATGGATAGGGCTACATACGTGAATGAAGCACACCACCAGTTAAACCAACCGCAATATTACCAGAGACTGGAGAAACCTCTTAGCCATAAGACTCTTCCAGAAGTTAAAAGGATTCTCCTAAAGTTAAAGGATGAGGGTTTTCTGGATAAAAAACAATTCACTTATCTGTTTCCACCCGCCGAGCCACGGTCTCGGCTGTTTTACCTTCTGCCAAAAATACAAAGACCCAACATCATAGGGCATCCCTTTTGTAATGCCCCCTGGCCGCCCTATCATGTCCGACTGCAGCAGCAACACCTATGCCACAGCAGAATATATAGAACACTTTCTGAACCCAATCAGCTCCAGAAAAGAGGCACATTTTAGACTTATTGGAGATTAATCTTACCAAAAATGATTTTGAATTCATTTCTGAATATTTCCTGCAGGTTAAGGTAACTGTGATGGGGAAAAGATTTGCCCCATCTTATGCAAATATCTTCATGGCCAAATGGGAAGAGGGGGTCCTAGCGGCCTGGCCTGCCAAACCACTCCATTATAATAGATTTTTAGATGACTTCTGGGGAGTCTGGTTGGGCACAGAAATTAAGTTTAAAGAATTTGCTAATCATCTCAATTGGTTTAATAAGTCCATTCAGATAAAGTACACCCTGCACAGTTCAGAGGTGAATTTCCTGGATACGGTCACATATAAGGGGAGTGACTTCAGCAAGACTTGTAAACTGCAAACCTGGGTGTACTTTAAGGATGCGGATGCACATGCCCTCCTGCATAGGTCCAGTTATCACCCAAGGCACATCTTCAGGAACATGCTAAAATCACAGCTCCTCAGGTTCTGCCACACTTAGATTGCTCCCTCTGGTGACTGAAAAGTTAAAACCCATACTAATGGCAGAATTTCTACCTAAGCGGTATATTAATAATCCCGAATCTAGAGCAATCTTTGCCATCTGGCCACCCCGATCTCAGAACATTTTTAACTGTATCTACTGTATCTACATTTCTACTGTACAAGGTGCAATATGCAGTATGTCAGGGAGACGGGAAATAACGATGGTCAGAATGACCCAACACAGGTATAAAATAAAAAATAAAAAGGAGATCCACGCTTTGGTTATTCAGCACTTTATGAAGCATGGTGTGGGGGCATTGAGGGTTATGGGACTACAGCAAAATGGGACCTGGAATCATATGGACTGAAGAAGGGCTGAAAGGGAATGGAATGGATTATAGACAGCCATGGGGCCTCAATAAAATATAGGACAGAGAGGATGTCTCTTGGGTAATTTAAGGTAGGCCCGTTCCAAACTGCCTGTGACCATGGTTCCAGTCACGCCCGGCTCGTACGATCCTCGTGTGTGCCACGCCAACCTCATTACCTAGTGTTTGTTCCCGATTATAATCACCTTTGGCTTGTTAATTTCAACCTGTCTTGTGTATTTAGTCCATGTCTCAGTCAGTATTCCCCAGATCCGTCATTGTTGTGTTATGTTCCTTGCCGTGTGCCTCTGTCTTCTTACCAATAAACCCCATTTGTCCGTCTTTACGGCTCTACTGGCCTGCTTGCCTGCTCCGTGAAGCGTGACAGCTCCCTTCCCCCTCCCCCCCTTCCTACCCAAAACCCCTACCCTAACCATAATTTGTGGCCTTAGGGTGAAACAACAGGTAGTTGGAAAGTAGGCAATATGCTACTAAAGCATGCTGAATTGTGGTTTCCTATCCGTTTGGGGAGCAGAACTGTCATAAAAACACATGTTGATGTCTGGATATGCCATAGTTTTTCTAACCCTAACCCTAGCCTCAGTTTGCTAACCCTAACCCTAATTTGGGGCCTTAGGGTGAATCAACAGGTTGTTGGAAAGTATGCAATATGCTACTAAAGCATGCTGAATTGTGGTTTCCTATCCGTATGGGGAGCAGAACTGTCATAAAAACACATGTTGATGTCTGGATATGCCATAGTTTTTCAAACCCTAACCTTAGCCTC